GAATGCCTGGGCGAGCTTCTCACCACCTTCGTGCTCGTGGTGAGAGGGAGCTCTGGGGCTGATGGGGGGCACTGCGTGTGCTTTGGATGGAGCTGAGGGTGCCAGGGCTCTGCTGCCAGCCCCTTGCTGGGTGTGTGTGTGGGGGTTGGTGCTGTGCCACCGTGTCTTCTCCTGCCTGAACCCTGTGCTCGGGCGCTATCAGGGCGCGGCGCTGGGCAGCGTGTGCCGCGCTGCCTCCTGCCCTCGAGCAGCCAAAGGTTGAGGCTCCGGAGCTGCACGGTCGGGATGCCGTATCCGTGCCCACGGGGCTGCACCCTGGTACCCCCTCCCCGCGGAAACACTTTACTTTAATTGCTGCTAATTTGGCTGCTTTGTCAACAAAACCGCGAGTGAGAGCGGTAACAGCCTCTCCGCCAGCCCCGTGCCCAAGGATGGGAGGGTAAAACTGCTGCCCCGCGGTGTGGCCGGGGCTGGAGGGGCTGAGCTGTGCCCCTTCCCCAGCTCATCACCCTGAGTGCTGCTGCACAGAAGACCACCAGCTCCGAAACGAAGGGGAACCTCCTCACTGCCTATGTGGGAAGCGCCTTGGGCGTCATGGTAGGCGTCTACATCGCGGGAGGGATCTCTGGTAAGGCTGGGCAGGGAGCCCCAGCTCCCACCATCACCAGGCTCCCAGTGCCTCTGCTCCACACCCCTCTCCCATCTCGCCCGCAGGGGCCCACATGAACCCTGCCTTCACTTTCTCCATGTGCTTGGTGGGACAGTTTCCCTGGTGGAAGTTTCCCATCTTTGCAGTTGTGCAGACTGTGTCATCTTTCATCTCTGCTGGAACCACCTACATCCTCTACTATGGTATGGGGAGTTGGGGTTACAGGGATGGTACTGGGCAGGAGATTCCCATGGGGTGGTCAGGGTCATGGACAGGCTCTGCTTCTGCCCTGCAGATGCCATCCAGTACTACACCAACGGGAGCCTGGAGGTGTATGGTCCTCGGGAGACAGCATCTATCTTTGCCACCTACCCAGCTGACTATGTCTCTGTTGCCAACGGCTTCTTGGACCAGGTGGGTGGCACTGCCAGCTGCCCCAGGCCCCTCCAGTGGTGCTGGTCCCTTTGGTGAGAGTCATAAAATCATCAAGGTTGGAAAAGGCCTCTAAGATCATCAAGTCCAACCACTAACCTGTCACTGCTGTAACCCCTAAAACCTTTTACACACGTCCAGGGATGGTGACTCCACCACCTCCCTGGGCAAACCTATTTCCAGTTCCCTATCCCAGTGCCTGAGCACCCTAACAGGGAAAAACTTCTGACATCTCCTCTGCCTCTCTCCTGGCTCAGCTCATGGCCATTCCCTCTAGACATGGAATCATAGAATCATAGAATCAACCAGGTTGGAAGAGACCTCAAAGATCATCGAGTCCAACCCTATCATGGTTACTAGTCCATGGCACTAAGTACCACATTCAATCTCATCTTGAAAACCTCCAGGGCTGGTGACTCCACCACCTCCCTGGGCAGCACATTCCCATGCCTCATCTATCTCTCTGTAAAAAATCTCTTCCTA